ACCCTCACAGCGTACAGTACTGTACGTATAATACTGTACGCGGCACATCACTAAATATAAGTGATATATCGCAATAAGATGTATATTGTGCTCTAATTAAAAAGAAAGTATATAGTAAAGGCTTCTCGTCCTTGAAGGAAGACATCCTTTGTGATTCACATTAAAATCGGCTCTTAATATCCTTATACCCTATATACCCGCTAAATAAAATACTTAGCCCTGAATCTACTGCTTAAGTGGTATAAGCAGTACGATCGTGTGCCTCTTGCTCACGTAAAATCAAAATTGTACCGTAACTCTGTCCGGTTGTTTCTCGACAAACTGAGAGCCTCCGTGGTTGTTATTTTCAAACTACCTCGACTGACCGAAGATAGTTGTGGTTATTTCAGTTAGGGTATATAGCAAATTTGAAATCGGAGATCTAGAATGATCTATGAAATTCGGCGAAATTTGATTGGCCCTGTCACGTTTTTTACGCCATTTTTCTCTTAAAGGTTTTACAAGATTTTTACATTCACTTGTACCAAACAATATTCGAATAGTTAGTGTAAAACGTCTACTTTCGATCATCCCAATTAATCCCTCGTGGTGAGCAATATTAAAAAAGGTAAATGAGAACCAAAGTTAAGGTTTCTCTTGTATATTTGTTTTAAAATAGAAGTAATAATTTCGTTAATTAAATAGTATTTTTTAGTGTGTTTGCTTACTAAAAATCAAGAGCGAAAGATCTTTTACTTGTTTAATAAGCTTAGCTAATATTATACTGTTGGATTAAGATCTAAGAATTACAGAATCTGGTTCTGTTATATTCCACCAGGTTTGAAGTTCTTAATAACTCTAAGTATTGTATTTGACTAAATAGTTATGTTGTTTTTATAATCGAATTCTTATATACTTATTTTACTACTTTATTTTTATTATTAGAACTATAAACTAAAGTATTTAAAGAGTATGTTATTTAGGTTTATAATGACTTTCTAATATACAAATTTTTATTAATTGGAGTAAGCTTAGTTTTCTTGAATTAATATAATTTATTCATAAGTTACTAAGAGAATTTTATTACAATATGACATCTATATTGATTAAGACGAGTCTACATTAAAATTATTATGTTTTCTATCACGAATTAATATAAACAAAATTCTGTTATAGAACTTACCGTACAAGCACAAAATAACACGCATAAGCTATTAATTTACGGAATATTTTGGTATGTAAATATTTTTATTAGTAAAGTAATGCGATTTAGAATCTATATTATTCATTAATTTTATTTTAATTATACAATTTGGGTGAGTAATTAATATATTGAAATAAGTTGTCAGATTCAATATATTAACTGCATTTAAATATTTACGGTTAAAGTATTTAGAGTCTCTTAAATAAATTATTTTTTATTTTAATACTGTAATAAATATGCATGATTTTAAATTAAGTTATATAATTTTATTTAATAATATTTTTAAAGGAATAATAAATAACTAAATATATATAATTTTTGAATAACAAGCAATTGTTGATAAATATCTATGATCGAATACCTTTATTTTTAATCATTCTGATTTAAATGTGATGTAAACTTAAGAATAAACGAATTTAATGAAAGGCATCAGATTACTGTAATTAACTTTTAATTGAATACTTAGTTATCACGTGGAATAATCTAGAAGGAAATCTAGAACAAACCGATAGATAATCATTACTAAATAAAGTATGATCTGCAATAACCAAATTTGGTATATGCCTTGACTGTATTTTCTACAGTCGTGCTCCCATATAATCACCTCCTATATGATCACAAACTCTATATACTCACATAATTTTATACGGGCATTTTTTTTAATATTAAAAATACCTTTATATGATCACAATCATAGTACTATCACTATCACATTATTTTGAAAAGATTTTTTACTAATTTATTAATAAAAATACCTCTTCAAAATCACAAATTAACAAAAATTTTTCTTTAATTAAATTTTAAAAAATCTAAAACGTCTATTAAATATAACAAAACTTGCTATTTTTACTCAAACTTTAGCGATATATATCTCGATAACTGTTGATCCAAATCACCTCAAATTTTTATCATAGATAGTGTATATGTTATTCTATTATATTTAAAAATTTTAGCCGATTTAGTCTGTTATTTCGAGTAATCGCTTGTATACGATAGTCAATTTTTTAAAAAAACTGACTATCGTATACAAGTGATTACTCGAGAACTACTAAACCAAATCGGCTGAAATTTTTATATATAATAAAATGACATCGATATTGTCTATAGCAAAAATTTGAGCCTATTTAGATCTATAGTTATTGAGATATCTATTGTCAAAGTTTGAGTAAAAATAGCAATATTAAATAAATATATTATTTTTACTCGAAATTTGATGATAGATATCACAATAACTATTGATCCAAATCTGCTCAAATTTTTACTATAGATAATATAGATAATCTTTTATTATATATAAAAATTTCAGCCAATTTGGTCTGGTAGTTCTAGAGTATTCACTTGTATACGATAGTCAGTTTTTTAAAGAAAATTACCTATCATATACAAGCGATTGCTTAAGAAATACTGGACCAAATCGGCTGAAATTTTTATATATAATAAATAGATATCGATATTGTCTATAGTAAAAATTTGAGCTGATTTTAATTAATAATTATTGAGATATCCATTGTCAAAGTTTGAGTAAAAATAGCAAAATTTGTTTTATTTAATAGACGTTTTAGATTTTAAAATTTATAAATAAAAAATATTATTTTACCTTTTTAAAATCACATTATTTTAATTATTATATATTATGTGATTATATAGAGGTAATTTTATTAATTCTATTTAATCACCTCTCTATATAATCACCAAAAAGTGCTAGGTAAATTGGGTGATTATATGGGAGCACGACTGTAGTTTCCCAACGGATTGTGGATTCTGTGGTCTCTTTAGTTCTGGTCTTGGGTTATCGTGGTAGAACTCAAGGCGTGGTTTTTTGTGTTGAAATTATTGTGAATAGAAGTAGAAAGTATTAGTATATTATTAAGGTTCATATAAGTCAAGGAATATCTACCTACGATTAAAAATCACCCTGCCCAAATCTTAACGCCTCTTCGACTAAGCCGATAGTAGGTTACACAACATCTCGAATCGATTAGCCGATTTTCAGCTAGCACTATCGTCATGCATCGGGTCATTTTGTAACAAAAAAATTAAGTGTCCTGAGCGTAGTGACAAATAATTATATTTCAGGCTCAAGTTTTAATAAAGATTCATAGTCACATTGTGAGGTGTGTCCAACAAATAAAATCAAAAATTATAATGTAATTATGAATGTAATCCGTCCAATACTAAAAAATTTACATTAATAAAATGAAATTTTGTAATGAAAAATAATACTTATAATTACTGTATATTCTAAATTTCAAAAATAAATACAGCATTAATTAAATTCAATTTTTTTAGATTTTCGGATATGACTAATATAAAACAATAAATTTCAGAGCAGTTTTCCGAAAATCCTAAAGTCCTAAAATACCCTTTTTGACAACCTTACTGGTTAAATTGAGGGTACAACTCTGGTTCTATGTGTATAACTATTATCTATACTGTACGTTAAAAGTGTTATATACTTTATTGAGATTTTCTTTTAGAATGTCATAAATGTATAATGACATTCTTTTAAGAAAGTTGATCCTTTGTTTTGAAGATGACCTTTATCTTCAGGAAAACTATTAAATCATTCCATTTATAATAGCCATTTACGTTTGACCTTAGAATTTAAGATAAAAACCTTATAACTTCTGTAATACATTATTTTACTATGAGAGATACTCAGCTCATTATTTGTAATTTCATATAATGCAGAAGATGAAAACCGTAAACTTGCACAAATAATTCTTTGTCATTCTAATAATACCTTTGTTGGTTATGATTAAAACAACGCGTAGGTCTTAGTCTAATGTTTTTATTTTTTAACTTATTCTCCTTGTATGTAAAAAAATAAGAAATAAACAAATGCCAAAACCTTATTGTTGCTATAATACTTTGTTAAAATTCTTATTTAAATACTAAATTTATCTGTGATAAATATTTGGTAATTAAATTCTGTAAAAATTAGATGGTATTTATAATTATTTTTTATTCCATTATACCAATATCCAATAAAGGACTGAAAAAAGTCAATGTAGAAATTATTGCTAAAGATATGTTTAGAAACTATTGGCTTGAAGATACCGAACTCTATTTAAATAAATTTAATAAGCTTGTTGTGTTCTTTATTTCCTTGTTCCCCATTTTTAGTATAAATTTGCGATTATTTCTTATTTCGTCAAATATTAAGCTTGTATACTTTGTTATTTGTTACACAGGTACCAAATAATCTAAGATTTTAAAAATTTGATTGTGCAAAGTTTACTTAAATTGACAAAACAGTGTTACTCGAATTTTTTATCTGTAGCGTTTCACAATATTAAAATATAATATACGTAGACATTTCGAGATTTTTTTTTGTAACAAAGCTATATAAAAAACGCTTTCATAAATACTTTAAAAAGTATTGGAGATATAATTTACGGCGTAGTGCGAATTCTGGAATTTCTTATATTCAAAAAATCATAGCAATTCATAGGATAAGGGATTTATAGGAATTCGTAAATTAACTATAAAAGTATAAATTAATGCTATTTGATTATATACAACAAAGATATTATCCCGAAAATTCTCATAAAATAAAAGATAGCTCAACTACGCATTTGACTTTATTAATATTGTTAAGGCAAAATTAAATTATTTAAAAATCTTCTCTATCAAATAACAAGTTTTAAGCAAGAAAAATTGTTAAACAAAATAGTAAGAATTAAATTAGCTGCTGTATTTGGTTTACATGGGCTATACATTCGGAGGTACTAATATTTTATAATAATCAAGTAATGCTTAAATATAGATTTTGTCATCTTAAAAAGTTCTTAAAAAGATTATTGTTTACGCACATTTAAGTGAAAGAAACACCTGAAAACAACATATCTGAAAATTGTGAATTCGAGATCTCTGAACTTCGTAATTCAGTAAATAGATTTCCACCTTCGACCAAATCGTTGTATTGTTGAACAGCATTAAAGGCATTGATGGATTGATCTATAACATTTTGCGTTCTTTGAAAAGTATTTTGAGGTCTTCGCTGTTGGTTATTTTGTAGTTGAATGTTGTTATTTTGATTCATAATTGCAAATTTATTTAAGTTTTCTTTTTTATTTAGATCTAATAATAAAAGAAGTCATATTAGCATCGTATAAATGTCACATCTTTTATTCTAAAGTCTTAATTTACAAGGGAAGACTATTCTTTCACGAAGTTTGTATGATACAGTCACTTGACAAAAATTTGTGGAATGAAGTAAGACTGTTTCTAAATTAAATTGGGCCTGTATTATTCACTGACAATCGCTTCACGGAAAACTAGGTTCACGGACAATTACTTCACCGACAAGATTATATTTCAAGTTTACTGTATGATTCCCCGAAAGTTATTCCCCTATTTGGCATTACGCAAGGCGATAATTTGCTAAAAATATAAACCTGTAACTAATCAAATACTAACATTAACCTATTTATGTCGGTAAATGGCATATAGGGAAATTACTTTCAAGAATTCATAGACAAGTTTGTTTCATAGTTTAATTCACTGAAGCTCATTTCACGGACAAGTTTCTTTATAAATTACATTCATTTTAATCTAATTCTAAACCTAATCCTAACAAACAATGAGTATAAATGCATTGTCTGTGATATGAATTAACTAACTATGAAGTTGACTTGTCTGTGAATTAATCCGTTGCAAAATAATCTTGCCTAGTGATTAGACCCTGGTAGGCGTCACCTGTGGCATGTGCGCGTTTACTATCGAAAGTTTCGGAAATACGAGCAAAGCCGGCGGTAAATTTCGGGATTTGACATTTTATATTAGCTCGCCTGATTTTATCCAGTATATATATACTCCACCCGTCGGGTAACACGGATAGAGATTTTTTAGACGGGTCCAATCACTAATCTTGCCTGTAAATTGATCGTCAGCAAAAATAATTTTGAGATAAAATATAGTGTAGGAACTAAGGATCCGCATATTTAAAAGTAACATACACGATTAAGTAATTTTAAAAATAAATTGACATTATTTATCAGAATACTATATACAATATTACAATGCATCGCTTTTAATTATAATTTTTTTTTAAATTCAAAAAATTATTTCGAGTTTGCTTTAAATTAAACTTTCCTTCATAAGCTATATTCGTTAGAATTAAGCATGCGGTTTAAATTCAATTTAAAGCAAAGTTAATTAATAACTTGTGAATAATGTCCATCAACTGATAACCTTTACTTAAAAATTATCTACTCCTATATGCTAAATTTTCGTACCTAAATAATTTTAAAAACAGATTTTGTCATAATGACAGACGCCTAATGATCTCTTTAAATATTTATTGCGCTGTAAGCTGCTTGACTAAAAAAGAGAACAAGAGAAAGTAATCCGTCTAATTAAATTAGTATTTACATGAAATAAAATAAATATATATATTTATTTTTGTCAAATAGGTCAAATTATTATTGGCCATATAAAAAAAATAATTTTATTATACATATTTGGTATATTATAATTTACAGTTATAGTTACATCATAATTTTGTAATAAAAACTTTTGTTTATGCGCAGAAGACCGTTTATTAAAAATTTAGTTTACGAATAAAATTTGAGGGTAACAATGCTAGAATAGTTTCAGCGAAATGATCAATATCCTACTGAATGGAGTCATTACTATATATGCATTTGAAGATCACTTTTAAGTGACTAGAAAGTTCGTATATTCTTTGTGTTAATATTATACTGTTGTAATCTTAATATGGTCATTGTTGTGGTTCACCGGATATTATTTAGCTGCTTTCAAAAGGTTTAGTAAACGATTTCTATATACCCGTAGAGGAATCGAAATATTTGGAAATCTTATTGGTAAAATTAAAGATCCGATTAGCACTGGTCTTAAAAACTGTAAAAATCTTGGAATTCCCCATGTTACGGTGATCTGTGTCATTCTACAACTTTTAAAATAGCTGTAAGTAACCAATAATGAAGAGTATTGTAAGTCAATAAAAAGATTTTTAATGAATAGTGTCTAAATTCTTCTAATGTATAATTTGTGACACTTAACACGGTAGCTAAGATAGCCCATAGACCGAATTCCTGCTTTTACAAATTATGGTTTCTTTGTTAACTTTTTCTTCACACTTTCGTGGTTGTTTAAGAAAATTTAATTAAAATGAAAAATTGACTATAAATATTAAAATAATAAAGAATTTCATCTTCATGCATTAGCGAGAATTTGATTTGCTGAAGTGAAATAAAAAACGTTAATTTCAGAAATTAGATATTAACTTAAATTAAGTATGTAAATATTATTTAAATATATTTAAAGTTACAATAATATTTATTTATTATAAAAAAACCTATTAAACTAAACTTATCTCATAAAAATGGATTAAGGCAGCACAATAAATGTCGTTGTTTCAATAAAAGAAAATAATTGCAAAATGAAAAAAATATAAAATAAATAAGTGCTGTATTAAACTTGATTTATTCCTAGGCCTTTCTCTGCAAAATATGCATTTCTGTTTTCGTAGGTGATTTCAAACTTGGTTTACAAAAAATGAGTAAAGATTGATTTGAACAACCTTATTTACAAAGTCCAGATTTATACGCCTCTGCCTATTATAATCATCCATGTAGACTTTTATTGGAAAACAGATATCATTATTCTAATAAAGAATATATATTTCTTCTTGTCTGAATAAGATCACATGAAGGTAATACAACTTATACCGCATACGATATTCAATTACCATAATAACGCAAGTATTAAAATATCAACAATTAAGGATGTAGCCATAGGACCAGTAAAAATTAGTATAATAAATATGAGTGTCACCAACCAGTACACCCAAAATATAGAAGCTTTTATACAACGAATATGAGCATTTAAAAGTTAATAATAGAGCACATATTATCAAAAACAGATTATTTTGCAAAAATTTGCATTCCTTTACGTTAAATAATCCTATATTTGGATGTTTAGAACTTCTCTTGACATTATCCAATTCATACAATGAAAAATAACAAGAAATTCCTTTCCACGAAGTTAGTGTCACTTTATATATTGATCAAAATATCGTGACAAAAATCACATGGTCATATTACATGATAATAGATGAAAATTCAAAGGTGGGGGATAGGCAGTATAATCTACAGTAACAATTTTCTATGTATCGGAGACAATGGATATTTATTACCTTATTTAGCGTTAGGGGATCAATAAAAAGATGATCATTTTAGGAGTAGTAATTTATATATATCATGTGATTTTAATTTACAAATTTGTTAGTAATAGTAATCAAAATAACTACCCGACCTCCTTATTTGGCTAGTTTGTAATGAAACGTTGACAAAGTTTTCAATTAGGGGTTGATTCCATGAATAAAATAGCATAGCAATAACTTAGTTCAATAAGTAATAAAATTCACATTAATAGATATCGAATTACTCAATATCTCATACAATTTGAAATAATTACATAATCCATTATGTATATTTTTTTATTCACTATTTCTAAACTACTGTAATTAACTAAAATTTCAGAAATTTCTTTATCTAATATACTAGCTTCATATCTTCATACTTTATGCCTTTACTCTCTAAATATTATACATATTATACAGTATTCTAACAAGGCCGCGCAAAATTAATTTTTCACTTTGTTTGGGTCGGTTGATTAGATTTTTTTCAGTCAGTCCTAACTCCGAAATATTAAGGTCTCCATCGAGTGAAAACGGATAAAATTATGGGAAAATAAATAAATAAATAAATAGCAAAAATGAAATGTTTTGCACAAATTGAAGCTTAAAAAAAAAAAAAAGATCAGACAGCAGGTTATGCAAAACGACAATCAGTTTGCATAGCCTAATATATATCTTTTGAACTTTTGTTTTCAAGCCATTTTTAATATTCTAATTTTTGGTTATTACCAGTTTCTACAGAAAATAGTAAAGCGACAAATTTATCTGATTAATTTCAATAAATAAAAAATTCTAATAGTCATTCCAAAATTATATTGCTTATCAAAATTAAAATAAAAATAAAAAATTTTTTCTTTTTTTTTTTACTGGTTATTTAAAATAATATAAGAAATAGATGTAATAATTTTTTCTTTAAACTTTGTAGGGATTAAAAATTTTAGTTAAAATTTAATAAATTATTAGCATAAAAGTTAAAACCACAATTGAATTCGCCCTCGGCTTAATTAGGTAAATATTTGTATAAGAAATTCATTAAATTTGAGTTGCTTCAACCAACCATCTTGATAGGAAACAAGCTTACGGCTCTTAATTTCCGTAAAGAATCGATTAATATTTTTCCAAATCATCTAATCGACTTTAAGTTGCATCTTATGGTTTGACATTAGGTTTAGAATTAAGAGTGCACCTTTCATCACAAGAATTATCATCCTCACAAATTTAAAAATATCCAATTTTTTTCTATAATAGTAATAAGTTTTTACAGATCTAGGTTGATCATGCACTTACGTTAAATTGATGATTGTTTTTATGTCCGTCTTTTGTGGATATTCTTTAGGTAAATTAATCTGAATATTACTAGACTTTTCTTGGCTGAATGGTACAGTTTCTTGGAGCATAGTAAATCCTTAATCTCTTAGTTTTTTCCTAAAGCAGTTGGTTCATAATTAATATTACTTATAGAAACATCTGAAAGAACCCAAAAAGCTCTACATAATTGCTTTTAAATATATAACTCGCTGTTAAATAATTAGAGACTTTTGTTAATAATAACATATAGTAAATTACTAGCCCAACAAATTTTTTTTTGTTTCAAAATTTTTATTCTATATCAATTCGTTATATTTATGATAATCTTTAGTTCTATAGGTTTTGATTGTGTTTATCATGATGAATAAGAAAGCATACAAATAAAAATAAAATAGTAAAAAATAACCTTGGCATTAGATCTTGAACTAACGATTTTTTCCTTTGATTTATTTTGTAAAATTCTTATTACGATATTAATATGATCCTTTTATCTTGGTAGCACATTTTTGCTTACCCTTCGTAGTTTTCTGTAAAATGGACTTTATTATTTTGTTTAAAATATTAAAAGTTTAATGTGTTACACGCAACTATTGTCAAAATCATTTCTAAGTAAATTGAGATCTGTTTTATCAAAATAACGTCAATATGAAAGATATGTATTCGAAATATAATTTTAAAATTCTTAATTAGCCTTGATTGATATTTAATTGTAATAACCTAATCGTTATTAAACGCATTTTTAAAACTTCCTATTCAACAGTGATAAGTTTTAAGAAAATTGGTTAAACATTTCAAAAATTATTATATTTATGTATTTGTACATATTAGCATTTTAGAATACAGATGACCCTCGTTGATATTAACCCATTTGGATTAGGCAATTATGTTGATAATATATGAGAGTTGACAACCTGTATTTAAGCAGCTTAAACCATATCCATTTCACCTTAAAAGATCTTATATGCATAAATGATATTTAGATTATTTATGTGAAAGAAAATCCCAAAAACAACTCAGTTTGAAAATCAGTTTCATGTAGTAGGATTTCTGAACCCCATAATCCACTAAATGGATTCTCGCCTTCAACTAATTCATTATATCGTTGTACAGCAATGGATAGATTTACATCATGTTGAGTTCTTTGAGTTCTTTGAGTTCTTCGAGTTCTTCGAGTTCTTTGAGCCCTTTGAGTTCTTTGATTATTTTGTGGTTGAACGTTGACTTGATTCATAATTGTGACGATTTTGATGGAAATAATTTTTCTTTAGATCTAATAATAAAAGTATATTAATATCATACAAATGGCAGGTCTTTACGCAGGAGGGATGTTCACACAGCTTATATAATACAAGTATAAGGTGATTAATTCATAGATTTGTGAAATGCAAAATTGCTAGTCTTCAACAAATAATTCGAATTTTCGCAAAAACAGTATTTGGCTCTAACAGCCTTGTACAATTTTTACCTAGTAAAGTATTCTTTTTACAGTTGACCCTCTCAAAACCGATCCTGTCAAAGCCGATAACCTGTCAAATCTGATAAAAAATTAATCTACCAAGTCCGTTCCCGTTATATAAATCTATTAGTTTACTATGTTTTCAAATCCGATAACCTCTTAAAACTGATACAAAACCTGTCCACCATGCATACCGATTCTGAGAGGGTCAACTGTATAAAAATTCGAAAAATTTCCGAGTATTAGCAAATTTTTAAAAAACTAAATGCTTCGACCCGTTGTTGAATGTGATATATACAAGTCATTTGATGCTAGACGCAGGACTATTAATACGTATTCTCGTTGATTTCAAAGTAACAAACTTTTTGCGGATCGAAATTGATCATGTGATTACATTAAGTTGACAATTATTTCATGTCCATCTTTGGTGGATACTCTTCCAGTGAACTAGTTTGTACATCATTAGATTTTCTTGGTGGAAATGGTACAAATTTCTTGTATAAAATTAGACTCTCTATCTCTTCACAAATTTTTCTAAACTGTTGGTACATAATTAATAGTATAAGACCTCCAGAAAGAAAATGAAAAATTTATAGATTAGAAGCTTCCGTTAACAAAACATAGACGGAAATTTGCAAATTACTAGTACAAGGGATTAATTTTTTGTTGCGAAGTCGTAAATCTGTTTGTCTTACACTATGAGCAATTTTAATTAGTTTTTCAAAGACGTGCAAAATATCTTGAAAGATTCTACTTTTGGTAATAGAATGGAAAAGACAATGAGCTCTCCCAAATTGAAAAATGATCCATTCTGCCTTTGCTTAAGAATCTTTACATATAAAAGACCATCCTTTACAACTTACAATTAAATTCATAGAATTTTTAACATATACCCAGTGTTCATTTTTCACGTGCGCAAAAGGTGCGGATAATCAAAATTTTAAATAAAGCAATTTGATTGTTCCGCACACGTGCGCACACTTTTGTGCACGTGAAAAATAAATACTGCATATACCATAACTTCATTAGATAGTTCATTTTTTCTTTAGAAGATTCGTGGTCATTTAAAAGTAAGTGATCAACTGTTTAACATCTCAAAACCGATCTCGTCAAAATCGATAACCTTTTAATATTGATACAAAATCTTTCCATCATGCATATCGATTTTGAGAAGTTCAGCAGCATTGATACGTATTGTATATAGTATTACGTATATTTGATATGCATTACAAATCACGATACGAAGTTAAGGCAATAGGTGCGAAGCAGGTTTTTAATAAATTTGTTTAAACTTGAATAAAGATATCTTAACAAAAACTTGACAAAATTTGATAAAATCTTTTTAATTATAGAATTTTTCTATCAAATTTGATTAAGTATTTGTTGATTATTTTGCTTATAGTTTTTTCTCACAATATATTTTGATTGATATTTACTGACTCACCCCATATATTTTAAAAAAAGCTCTACATTCAGTTTATAAGCTTATTAAAGGTATGCGTGTAGCCTTTCAATTAGATTATAAATTTGCCTTGAAACTTATATTTTGTTCTAACTGTTAAAGTAAAATTGTAAAATCAAACTTAATTTAACGTTTATATAGAATTCTTGGAGATAAAAAAATTTTATGAATCGAAGAAGATAGCGCTATTTTATTTTAATTTGAATTATTGATCAATTTCCATAATTGTAGTACTGCAATAAAAAAAAATTAATTAAGTTATTATGTAATTACAAACGCGTTACAAATACGGGAATAATTAATTTTGTTGCCGCATTTAAGTAAGAA